TCGGTGGCTTAATTAGCAAAATTACCTTTTTCTTCTCCGGTGAATATTCTTGATCAGAATTTTCTCTTTGAATATTTTTCCTTTTGCTGGATTTACTACTTATAAGCTGCTGAATTGTCTCTATGACTCATCATCTGTCACTTTCTCTATTTCCACTATTATAAGCCTTTTATCTAGACATATACACTTACAAATACTTATATACATTCTTTTTGCATGTCGATAAGGACACGTATATGTGATATATATATATGAATAAAGTTGACGACAAATTTTTGTTTTGTTTAATTTATAGTAGAAGGTTATAGGGATATTTGCAAAAATGCCATTTTTTGTGTCTATAATTGTAAAAATGCTATTTTTGGTGTTTTTTTGCAAAATATCACTAATTATGATTTTGTTAGAACCTAAATTTTAAAATTCTAAACCCTAAAAATCTTTTGGCCCCTAAAACCCCTAAAAACCTCAAAACTAAACCCTAATACAACATAGTTAACCCAAACATAAATGATATAATGAATAAATAATTTTAAAAGTGGCATTTTTGTAAAAATTATAAAAAGTGGCATTTTTGAAAATTTTCAAGGTGGTTTTATATAACATATGGCCATTTTTTGTTAGTTGAAGGAAATGTGTATGTATGTTCCATTGATAAAACAAGATTTAATTAAGTTTAATATACTTTTATCTGTAAAGAGCTAGGAAATTAAGAAATTAAACTTTCTAGGTCAAACATATATATAACAATAACATAGACTTGAAACAATTTTATCAAAATAAAATAGTCTAAAAGTTGACAAATCCGACATAAAATATGTGTAAGGCTAAAATTATATATTATGTGAACTCGAGCTTTTCTATTTACTTGTTAATTACGTAGACTCGTAAAATAATTATGTACACGCAAGTTTTCTACACTATAGCCGAAAAATACATATAGGATGTATAAAATTACAATTGCATTATTTTATGTGTATCGATTTGGTGTTTGCATGTAGGATTTGTTTGTTAAAAGAGTGTGTTCTTAGACAAAAAATGGTATAATACAACATGCATGTATGTGTATATATTGGCAAGTGCATTTGTTGGAAGTTTTTTGTCTAATGTATTATGGAAGTGTTAGGCGAATGAAGGTCGATACCGTTGACGATGCTTACTCGGGCCTCTTTTGAAAGGCTTTTATTGTTGAGGAGATTGGTTTTTCAGGTGTGTGGTTTGCTTCTGCATCTTCATCTCTAGCATTGGATTTGGTTAGAACAAGCGCATCGTTATCACTTTGTGTGATCTCCATTAACATTCGTGTTAGTGTCGAATCGACAGACTAAAAATTTGTAGGCATATATTTCCATGTTTTTAAAACTTTTTTGCCATGGAATACATTGTATAGGAATACAATTTCGTTTGTAATTCTGAACCGATTCATTTATGAAATATTTACCATTTAAAAAAAAAAAATGTTAGGCGAATGAAGATGCCATTTCAACGCAATCATCAAACACAACAAAATGGAAATATATATATTATTTTTGGGGTCAAATAACTAGAAAAAACAAGCGTTACAACAACCATAATGAATAACCAATCAAAGTGTTCCTTTTTTTTGCTTACGATTAATAATGAAGTTTAATACCGACATTTGAATAGTTTGTTAATACCTCATTAGGATAGAGATGTATATACTTTAATATAGTAAAATGTCTAGATTAAATATGTGGATGTGGAAGAAAATAAATAAATTAATGAATGCGGTGGAAATATAAAATGATATCATGTGGGGTTTGTTAAACAATAAGCACTTGTCGTAAAAAGTTGTGGCTGTGAGAGGCTCTCGAATCTAAAAGCTAATGCTAATGGTAAGTGCCTTTGATCCGAAACAACTCTTATCTTTACAATTATTAATTTATTACACCATAGTCAGATGGTACGTTCCTATCATTCAAATGTAAACACAATTTAAATTTAAACGACATAGTAAAGATATATATGTACATACACAAAATAAGATGTAAAAAATAGACGACAAAAAAAAAGATGTAAGAAATAGAGATGTTGAATATTAGCAGGCACGGATTTCTTCTTAGTCGAAAGAAATATGTTTTATATAACCGAATATTTAGGTCGTAATCTAGACAGACTATCGTGAACTTTTTATATACCGTTTTTTATGTTGAATAATTCTAAGCAAGTTATGCGTTTATATACAATAATAAGATTATTGTAAACATTAGTTATAACATGTAGTGTCGCAAGTCACAACATAATAAAAGAGTATCTTGTCCTTTACACAAATTGAAGGAGAAAGTATGTTTATATGGAATACATTATTCGCATATATGTATGCAATAAAGTATTTGGCTCGCATCAATTTGTTACGTGTGTATATATAATAGAGATAATCAAATGTATAGGTTTTTTAGTTATTTTTTCACTCTGCTTTTCCTAGCAAATTATCAATCAACTTATATATCTAATTATCTATGATCTTTGCCTAAATATACGGATGTGCCTAGTGCATATGTTAGATTTTATTATTATACATGTCCCCTTGGCTAGATTTCTTAGGTAATCCATAGATATTAGTGCTTACAACTTTAAATTCTGGTTTGAATAATCGTAAAGAGTACGGACTTAATTAGGTGGGTGGTAATATTATTGTAGTGATATAAAGTAATAAAATATGGAAAGAGATAATGTATTTATTTTTGCACTAGATGGAAATTGCATGGCCACAATCTAGCA